CCTTGAATATATTCTAAACCATTAGGTCCAGAGGCAGATGTTTGCTGAGAGGAATGCACTCATGTTGTAAACAACAGTGTTCTTAAAAATATGTCTCTTAAATGTAACAGGCACAGCTGCTTGCTTGTTCAAAATCTTGAAAGGGGATTATGGTAGTGATGTAGAGACATCAGTCGAGAGGTCTAAGAGAGAAGTGGAGTGCTATGTTTTGTGCTTCAAAAATAATGACCAAAACCAAACAGAAGGAATTAGGAGCCTATGAAGTGTCTCACAAAAACCCCATGCGTGTGGTGTAAAACCTAGAGAAGTACCTTGTTATGTTATTGGTTTGTTTACCAGGCAATTTGGAGGCGCACGTGGCACTGCACTGTCCCTGCCGACGGGCTCTGCGGGCCCGTCAGGCTCCGGTGTGACCCTCTGCCTCCAGGCAGATCATGCCAGTGCCCAGGTATCTCCCGGTTTCCATCACGCATGTTTTGATTAGCTGCTGATGACATGGAGCTTTCTGCCTGGATAAATAATCTCCCTCAAGTGTTTGGTGGTTTTTTGCCAAGTACTTCGATTAAAAAACCGAGCGTGTGTGGGAACTGCACTTGTGACACTTGCAGGAATAATTGTGGCTGGTGACGGAAGCAGGGCTCCCTCTAACAGTTTTAGAGAATATATTGCAATAAACGTCTTGTTCCATGGGCACAAGCCTTTGCAACGCTGCGTAATTCAAGTGCTGCTTTCCTGGGTGCTATAAATCAGCAGGCTCAGGGGATAACTCTCTTTTGCCAGTTCCCACAGTCTGTGAGCATCCTTAAAGCTGAATCTTGCTCATACATACATTTATACATTGTTGTTTAGATTGCAGCAGAATGTTGCCTGTACTTTTATGTCTGGAGCAGTTTCCAAAAGAATCTGAATTACATACTAAGAAAAAATATAGTGAATTGTGCAGGAAAAAAGTAAAACTGGTCTGCAAAAAAAAAGGAATAGAATTTACATGATTCTGTTGGAAAGATGACCATAATTTCATGAAAGACACTGAGAGTCAACACTAAAGAAATCAATTTTGACTGACTGAAATAGCAATATGCACAAAAACACTCAGTGAGTATAGAACTCCAGTCAAATGGGCTGCCTTCTACCATGATAAACAACTGAACTGGCATGAGAAAAGAAGGACTTAAAATTAATCAGAAAAAAAATGTCTTTCTAAACATAGATATGTTACATTAATAAGGTTTTCCACCTAGGACAGCTGATAGGACCAGATCTAAATTTTAATATTTTTGAGCAAAACCTAACAAGAGGAGGCATAGAGATTAAAAGTTCCTTCTTGCTCTCGTGAAAATGAAGCTCTTTTCCAAGCTGTTTTCACAAGGAATCGTTTCCAGGAGCTTCTTTGGACATGTTCAATGAGCTACTGATGCAGAACTAAAAGACAAAACACTTCTAAAGTGCTCCTTAGTACAACTGAACAAGCTGTAGTGCAATTCAGTGGCCAAATCCATTTTGAATTATTGAGGTGAAGCAGGGATCTCCAGTGAAGGGCTGGTAATCCATGCACCGGGACAGCTGTCCGAAACCAACGTGAGTGTTCCCAGCAGGGTTTTGTGTGGAAAACTGCATTTGGAGGAAGGATGAACATCAACAGGTTCTGTTTTCATCCAAGTGTCCATCTCAATTAAACCAATTACATAATTTATAAATGATTTTATGGCTTCTGAATAAAGGCCTCTGCTTGGTATTAGGAACTTGTTAAACTGAACTGCTCAAGGAAGGAAAAGACATTGATTTAGAGCTCAGTAGGTAATGGGGTATCATTAATTTCCTGTCCTCTCAGGTTCTGTTTATTCTCAGCTTGTATTTACTTTTTACTTTCTCCACACCATCTTTCTTTTTTTCCACAGCGCACATTAACAAAATATTTATTTTCATACCCACAGCTTTGCTTACTTAGGCAAATGTATGGCCCAGTTTCAAGAAAAAACACTTCACCACCACTTAATCAGAAGTAAGCACATACTTAAGAAACATCTATTTGAAATACCTACTTCTCTTGATCAGCCCAGTTGTCTGAACTCCTGTAAATTTTCAATCCAATCGGACAGCTGAAGATATAAGGGCAAAATGGCAAGGACCACAGCTCAAGGACTGAAGATGATATACAAATGCTGTAGCTAAACCATTAAATAATAAAAAGAGGAAGACAAGATGTATGAGAAAACTTAATCTCCTTTAACCCACCCAATTTAATTGGAGATGAACAGGCAAGTTTTGTAAGCTCTTGTCCAAGTCACTTGAAAAAAAGTCCTGAAAATGTAGTCAGAATAGAACTCTGCTTGAGAGCTCATCTATTCTTTTTCCAACCATGTCAATTAATCTAACAAAAGCCCTCTTGTATGAATTTTCCTTTGATGTTGCAGAAAGGAGACAGAATGATCTGCAGAGAACAGAGGGTAGAATAACCCAGGATCACCCCAGAGCCAGCTGAAAACAAGTGAAGACAGGGAAAAGAGCAGGTTTCCCAGATGCAGAAGTCCCAGAAGCAGAAGCTGTGCACCGAGGGGAGCAGCAGAGCACCGGGCACAGCAACAACCCCCGGGCTCTGGGGTGGGACTCTCGCCCCGGGTGTGGAGCAGCCACCTCCGGATAGCAGCTCCAGTGGAGGCCTTCCGTGGAGCTGACAAAGGCAAGCACATAAACGCCTCAATCCTGAAAACCCCTCACTAAAGACATTCTTTGTCACAGCATCCTAAAGGTGCTAAACCCTGCAGCACTCTTACTGTTCTCTTAGTAATTAAAGCTACAGGGCAAACTAACACGGTAGACCACGTATCCTTCTAAGAAACATCGATTTCCTCTTCCCAGCTCTCTTTCTCCTCTTCCAGTCTTCTGTTTTAAGACCTGGCTCTTCAGATTTTTCAGCCAGCCTTACCCTAACTTGGTTGGCTTCATTCCTACAGCCCTCCAGGGCAAGCAGAGACAAATAATGCACACCTGAGTAACAAGGGAGGCATCTCCCAGTTTTGTACTTAACCAGGCTTTGTCGCCTCATCTGTCACCTCTGCTCACCTAATTTTCTGTCCTGATTAAGGAACAATCCTTCCCTGCAAGTCAGCTGCTGCCTCTGCCTGCTCCTACCTTCTTCTGTTAGCATACCTTTTTAACTACTTAAAAGTTTTTTTTTTTAATAACTTTTGGTTTAGGTTTAAGTCCTTAGCAAATTAGCTGTTGTCTGATGAAGACAGCACAATTGTCTGTTCCCCATTAAGATGTCAAGTGCTACCACTGGTCTCCCCAGATAACCTGAATAAGATAATTATTGCCATTCTCCCCTTCCTGTTTTCCCCCTGCTCTTCTGTACAAATACTAATAGTATTTTATTTGCTAAATTAGCTAACTTATTTTTCAGAGTGTACCTTTCTTTTCCATGGATTGCTGTCCACGATAGAGATTTGTTGTTGGAATGTTCCCAGCTCTGACCTTGAATACACTGTGGCTTTAACACTACTGAAAACATCAGCTTTCTACTGCCAAATGGAAATCGCTGACCACTCTCAGATAAGAGATAATGAGTAATAGACAAGCAATAAAACATTTATGTTTGTTTTTCGCTTTTTTATGCAAACTCTCTGGTTTTAGCTATCTTGTTAAATCTAGTATCATCCTTGAAAATTAATATTTTAATTTGTTTGGAACACTTTGTTCTCAGGAAAGCATGAAAGAGGGGGATTAAATTATACCTGTATAGACTTTTCTTGGTGATTGGTAATTACACTGTCACTCATGATGCTATTCATTGCACTTAGCTGCATGGAACTGGGTAAAAACATGACATTTTCCCCTGTACTGGACATAATGAGAATCTATGGCTTTTCAAGGAATCATTCATCAATGAGGTACAAGAGTAAACAAAACATGGGGAAGATGCATTTGGAACACAGGTTTTTTTTCTTCAAGCCACTGCACGAGAGGCTTATTTTTACCCTGGGGACATCAGCGGGGCCAGGTAACCACGCTCACAACACACCCGACAGCAAATAGTCTGCATGTGCCTGCTGAGCACACAGGCTCACACCCTTCTGCCTACCCATCCTGAGACAGCAAGCCTTTAACCTGGTGTGGGCAAAGAGTGGTGGTTGGGGCGTCTGTCTGTGGGGTGAACACGATTCTGGGTTCAGCTTCACTGCATCAAACACATTCTCCTAGTTCTCGACAGGGCTCTGTGTATTGGAAAGCTGTGGAACAAAAGGTGCTGTGCTCCAAATGCAGAGCTTCTCCTAAAAACCACACCAAACAGAAATGCATCTTTGCAGCAGAGAGCCACACTGAAGGAACAGCATTATGTTCTGAAAAGTTTCAAGTAGGAGACAGAAGTTCGCATTTCCACGAAACGCAAATTAACTTAATTTGTTGTTGTATCTGACAAAGGACATAGTTAAATCTGGAGAGGACTGAGTGAGTCCACAAAGAATCAAGAATAACCACTTATGTTCTCAGCAGGCTTGTTTTTGCACCCAAGTTAAAAGTTCTTTGAAACTGAAATGATGCTACAAAACATCCTGGCCTCAGTTAGACGTATCTCTATACTTAGGCACAAAGTTTCTAATGTATGTTGGCCTCAGCATTGCATGAAGTCTTTTCTCCCATTTTTAATAAATGCCAGTTGTCCTAAACACAGTACTTTGCAAAGTGTCAGAGCTTTCAACACTGACCTATAACAGGTATGTTTTAAACACTTTTGGGAGGTTATTCTCTTGCCAGGGTCACAGTGACTTGTATTTTTTTAAAAAACCCATGACATCTCCCTGGTAACAGTCTCTTTCCTCCCCTTCAACAATGTGCTGTCAATTTAAAACTCCGGAGACTTCTTGCTGCATTATGTAAGCATAAACTTGTTTTTATCGATCAATGCAACATCAGCGTACATGGAACAAGAAGATCAATACAGGGAAGTGCTTACAGTTTCAAAGGAAACAGAGAAAACTGAGACAACTCAGAACAGGTGCTGCAATAAATACGTTTTTTATCAGCTAGGTGTTGTAGTAAAGTGCGATGGAAAATTCAAGGGGTGCTCATTGCTGATATTCTAAGGGAACATCAATGTAAATTATACCATTTTATTTAAGATTTTTAGTATTTTTGTATTTAACTATATTTAATAAAGATGAAACAGAACAACTCCATTATTGCTTATAATCCATATTTTTCACATAGATTATTCAAACTCACATGACAAATGAACTGCGTCTTTACTGATAATGCTTGGCAGGAACACAGGAACACAGACTTTTCTAAGAAATCAATGTATATTTTCTTCCACTTTGAAGTGGCTGCGGTCAAACTGACACAATGACTTTTTATGAGAGCAGCCAAGCTTTCAGACAGCTGTGAACCTAGGGAAATATTAAAGCTTCTTTACTAGATTTTGCTGGGCTTGCGTGGCCAGGTTTGGTGAGCAGTGGGGGCTGCAGGGGTGGCTTCTGTGAGAAGCTGCTGGAAGCTTCCCCCGCGTCCCACGGGCCCCAGGGCAGAGCCACTGCTGGCCAGGGCTGAGCCCAGCAGCAGCACCTCTGGGAGAAGAAAAACCTGTGGAGAACCACAGCTGGGGCGAGAGGAGCTGGGAGGGGAGAGGAGAAGAGCCCTGCAGACACAGGTGAGGCGGGAGTGGAGCAGGTGCAGCACAGACTCCCCTCAGCCCCACAGTCCCACCCGCAGCCCTGAGGAGCCCACGCCAGAGCAGCAGAGGCAGGAAGGAGGCTGTGATCCCGTGGGGAGCCCCTGCCGGAGCAGGGCCCTGGCAGGACCTGCAGGGAGAGATGCCCCCCTGGAGCAGGTTTTGCAGCAGGACTGGTGATCCTGCAGGGACCCACCCTGGAGTGACAGGTCCTGGATCCGTGCATCCCTCAACTGCTACGGGACACTTCCTAATTCCCCTTCTCCTGCTGGGCTGGCTTTACCTCTACACGGGTACATTTTAAAGGCTGTTATGAATGTATACAATTTGTACACATTTATAACATTTACAACCCATCAGACCTGGGAGGCTTGGCGCTTTCTCAGCCCTGGATGTTTTGGACAAGGAGATAGATACTAAACCCCTTTCTTTCCATAGAAAAGCCCTGAGATAGTCTAATGCCTTTCATTACCTGTGGAATTGTCAGGGATGCCGCCATGGATTGTAAGATCACCGCAAGGTCTCATGCAACCTTTGCTGTGGAACTCCTCAGACCCTCTTCTGCAGGGTGTAGCTTCAAAGTGTGGGGTGTGGTTTTTGGAACCATTCACTACTGAGGTATTTCACCATCAGGAATGATTTTCTTCAAAATTTTAATGTATCTTTACACTCAGTAAAACTTTATGATTTAAAATACCTGCCCTTACACAGAAGTACAAAATGCCTCCCTTATTGTGCCACGACAGTTTTCTCATACACTTCAAATTTGTATTGAATCCCGTTCTCTTCTTGGATATCAGCAGGGACACCTGGGTACCTAGGGAGAGAGGAGAAGAAAAAGCAAAAGGCAACAAGCAGGTAAGAATATCATTATGATTCACCTGTAATTTATCCAATCAACTAGAAAAGCAAGTAGTTTGGAAAAAAAAAAAATGAAAACACTGTCTTTAGAACAGGTACTTTTTTAGGAAATATAATAACTACTATCCATGATCTAAATGCACATCTTTTAGATCAAGAAAGAATACTCTGACACAAAACAACACCCCTATTTTTGGTTAATAAAGAAATACCCAACATTTTTATTAAAGCCTCCAATATATTATTCAAAATGTCTGCCAAGGAAGAAGAGATTATGGAATGCTTTGGTTTTTTTTCTCATCTTGCTTTTCCCAAGTTGGTTTAGAGGAAATGCTAAGGACAAGACTTTACAAGTGTGCAAGAGATTACTAAAGCAGGTGACTGCTACCATAGAAAGGGTTCTTCTATATTCCAGGTTTTCTAAACCACTTCTCATTAATAGATGCTTTCAAAAATCTTTTCATCTTCCCGTGAAAGAACAAGGATTTTGTATGAGTAATACGGACTTTGAAGGAGAGATACATTTTAAATTTATTTGGTAAGGTTTGGCATCGTCAGGTTTCCACTTCAGTGAGGAAATTACCTGTTATTTTACAAAATCATGTTCTAACACCAATGTTCAATTTAGTACATTGGCCAAAAAAAACGTATAGCTAGGAACAGCCGAGAGAGAGAGGGAGGTTTGGGTCAGATCTCAGGACACTTAAATGAGCACAGAGTAGTTCAGAATATATTGGTGCTGGAGAGGGTGACTCATCCTCCCCACCCACCTCGTCTGTCCCGCATCCCTCTTCCCTGCCCCTGCCTATCCTCCCCCAGAGCTGTGCTAATCCATTCCTGTGTCCCCTGAGGAGAGTTCCACTACTCAGACTTTCTATTTCTTCCATTGCTGGTCTGTAACCAGCTGAGAGCCAAAACAGGAGCAGCAGGAAGAGCAACAGGTCCAGTTCTCCCTGGTTCTTTGTGAGAAATGGAATTGTAGAGGATTCTCAAAGCCTGATTCTATCGAAGATTCTAGATTCTGTCGAAGATCTTCCAACAGTTCTTGAGGCAGGTGTCTGAATTTCTGCTGCCTCCTTACTGCCTGTGGGATGTAATCTTGTTGGAGAGGACATAAAAGCACAACTGGAATATGAGAAGGATAATACAGAAGAAATCACAGTGAATGAAAGAAACCGTAACTTTCTGTACACCTTCTCCTATTACATTTGCTAGGAAGAAGTAATTTTCTCAATGGGAAGGAATAACCTTAGAAATCTATAAAGCTCAAGCCTCTCCAGTCAAATCCATTTAATTTGTCCCTGGCAATTTATCAAAGACATTCAGAGGCCAAATACTATTTACTAACACCATACTGAGAGTTAAAAAGCTTAGTAAATATTTGAGTAATTCTAAACCAGGAAACAATAAGGAAAACCTACTTTTGAAGCAAACTGACACTGACAATTCTTTACTGTGAAGATCATAGGAAAGTTGAGGAACACACCAAGTTCCAAGAAAACCTGTGCAGTGTGTGGTGCCATTCCAGGTTGCAAGTAAAGCATGATTCTGGGGAAAATTTCACCTCAAATTCAAACCAAGAGGCCTCCATAGAACTGTTAAAGCATTCAAATCAGATTATTCTGAAGACAAGCCTGATACACATTTTGGTACTTACTCTGCCAGAAGCTTGTAGACTTTATGGTCAATTTCTGGAAAAAATGTGTCACTTTCAAATTCTTTCAAGATTCTTGTCACAAACAATCGATGATGAATTGGCTTCTCCATTGCTGCCTTTAGAAACAACAGAAACTCAGTCACAATTGTATGTATCACAGGCTTTTAGCAAAGCCGTGGAAATTACACTCTGAATCTCCTCTTTTAGACTCTGCTGAAGAGCAGTTTCTAAAGGGATAATTTCACCCTGTGTCAGTTCCACCTGGTAAGTGGCAGCAATACCTATTCTCAGAGCCTGGGGTATCTGACAGAAGTTAAGAACAAAATTTGAATAGCCCTGTGAGAAGAAAGGAACAGTGGGCCCGGTAGCAACAAGCAATTTCTGAATCACACCTCTTTGGGAGACAGGAAGGTTTAAGTGGTGAGAGATGCCCACACTTCAAGGTAATTTGTTCTGATGCTTAATATCACTGCTAGGGATTTGTGCTGTATTTTTTGGAATTCCAGATATCAATCTACTCCTTAGTTTAATGGCAAAGTTGGAGGTCTGGATTGTGGCAAATTGGTAACATGTGCTGAAAGATTTTACATTTCCAAGCTCCTTGGATGAAAATATTCTAAGGTAATGTTTGTTAGGTGAGTTTTTCACTAACAAATTCAGGAGTTAGGAATATATAGGAATATACATTTTGTCTTGAGATTGAAAAAAGGCAACTCTTCCAGACTTTGCAGGCATTAAAAAAACCCATGAAAAGCTACACTAGGGTTGGTTACAATACATTTTTGAAAAGCTTTAGCTGTTCCTCTCTCTTGCTTAAACTGGCAACGAGCAATGCTCTTTGTGGAAGATGACTCACCATGCAACAGGCTATTACGTACTACTTGAACAAGCACAGGAACCAAGCAATAACAAATGGAATCCAATAAAATTAATTAACCACTGCTGAGAGGCTAATTTGTGGAAAAGCTGCTCTACTAGAGAACAGTTAAAAATGACAGGGGTAAGTCACAGCACACAAGCATCGAACAGCACTGAACTGGCATCTATCCAGTTTGTACACAAATACTTGTATTTTTCTTTGTTTAAGGACAGGGAGATAAGAAGAGTCACACTTGCAAAATGATAGAATAAAATGCTTCAAAAATCAAAAGACGTTGTGTTCTGTAAAACAGAGACACTTTGGAATTGGAATTTTGGAGCTTTATCAAGAACTCTGTACCACCCCAATAGGCCAGGGAAGAGCACAGGGAGGGAGTGACCACAGGTGTTGCAGAGAAAGTTGAATTTAACCCCAGGGAGACCAGATGGTGACCTCTGTTCTAGGGAAATAGTTTCATTAGCTGAACGAACCAACCAGCTGTGTCACTGTCCCCACATTCATAAAAGAAGCACAAATGCTTCCTCAGTTTGTCAGAGCAGCTCTGGAGGCCTGGGTGTGTAGGTGGCCCATGACCAGTAAACAGGAAAGAGCTTGGGGAAGAGAAAAAGGCTCAGGCAGGTTTCAGCCTCACATTCCTCCTCAGCAGCTGGGAGTGCCCAGGGCCTGGCAGTGACCAACATGCTTTTCCATTTCACTTGCTCTCTTCTGTTCAGGGCAACTTTCCTCTGCTTTGGGATTCAGGTAGAGTTAAATCAACCTGTGCCCACAGCCCTGCCTCATCACCCCCAGGCCATGCCTGACCTGGTTATGGTCATGGGACCATAATGGACCTGTCCCACCAGGCCAGGCCCCTGCCTTACAACTACTGCCCATGGGGTCCAGCTCCTGCTCCCTTGGGAACATCTGGTCCCTCCTGCTCTCCCAAGGCAATGTTGGAAAACTTCAGAGAAGGAAATTTGGTATCAAACATGGACACTTCCACAGGTGGAGCCTCCAAAGGAGCCCATTCAGCAATGCCTGGACTCTGACATTGCACCAGTGAAATACTGCTGAGGACATGGCAGGGTGGCAAAGGAGTTTTGTCATAATGCTGTCATTTCCACTAGGAATAAAGTAGGTTCTCACTGATGTTCAAGTCAGTCTTGCCCATCCAGCCCACACCATTGGTTTCACCATTTTTTTGGAACTGAAGAGAAATTGGAGGAGGCACAGAGCTGAGCTGGTGGGATGCTGACATACTCACTCTACACATCATAAAACTATATCATACACATAAAGAAGTTGACACCTGGGTCTGATGATTTTAGTGGATTTGTATGTGTGTGTTTTTGTTGTTGTTGGTTTTGTGTGGTTTTTTAGCACCCTATTTAAGGATGTGATGGACTTACAAATCCTATTCCTAGCAAAACCTCAATGTTGTTTTTGACCACACGGTTTAAATGTAGTTAAAAGAGACTGATACAATTTGTACAGAGTGGACTCAGAGTAACCTGGTCCAGTGGAAGGTGTCCCAGTCCATGACAACAGGCTTGGAATGACCTGAGCCTTTAAGTCCCTTCCAGTCTAAACCATTCTGTGGGCCTCTGACCCCCCTAAGATGTCCAGAGAGAAGTTTTTCAGAGTCAAGGCCAAGACCTGAACTTCTCAAGAGACAATACCTTCACACAGGTGCAGCTGTATCTTAACTTGGAATAGAAACCTGGTTTTGAGATCACGGAATTGCAGAATGGCTAAGATTGGAAAACACTTCCAAGACCATTGAGTCTGACTGTTAATGGACCTTCCAACTGTCCTCACCCAGCATGCTTGAGTTGTACGTGGGAGCAGGTTTGATATCCATGAACGAAATTTCTTGGGTATGAAACTGAGCCAGAAGCTGCTCCAGGACATCTGATGAACTCCAACAGCCACAAGGGTCCCCAGGGCCAGAGCCAATGAGTGAGCCAGCACCACAAGCCCCAGCACACAAGAAGCACTCACAAGCCAGCAGACAGCCCTCAAAAGGTGAAGTGCTCACACAGAATCACAGAGTGCCTGCCATCATGTGTAACAGCTTTGTAATTGCTGTAACCCACTGACCACTGCCAGGCTCCTCACTCCTCATCCAAACAGCAACCCCAGCTCCTTCTGGAACTCAGGAGATCCACAACAGTGCACAGGGGATCCAGATGGCACTGCACTAAAATCCAATCAAATTAACCTGCGCTGTCAGAAGTCCAAAAGCTTCTCTGGGGGCATCACTACTGCTCTGTGGCTACCTTAGGAGGTAATAAACCTGATGAGGGCATCAGTGTCCAGTCACATTCAAGACGATGACACCCACACGTGTTTTTCTGAACCCTCACTGAACTGATGGAGTTTTCAATCTTTCCTGCTCCCACTTGCCAATACCAACACACCACCCACTGCTCCCCCTTTCCCTGTTGCAGAGGTCAGGTCACAGTTTCCCAGAGCATCAGTGTGACCTACACGAGGACTTGGATGGCCACCACAGCTCACACAGGTCCTGAGGCAGCTGATGCCAATCCTCTCACCCCCTGGAGAGAACTGTGTCCTTGAGATCCGAGGGGCAGTGGGAGAGATGGCCATAACCAACAGAGGGATGCTCTGTGTCCTTATAAATGCTCACAGATTTGGGTCTCCCTCTCCTGCAGTCTGAGGAGGAAAAGGATGTGAACAGCAGCAATCCCCTGCCTCCATCCCACTGCAGGCAGCATCCTGAGCCAAAATGCCATCCTGGAGCCCATGCTGTAGTACCTTGCTCATAAAGGCTGGACAGGGCACTGCAGCCAGCTGTACCTGAGTGGACACTTGTGTCCCAAAGGTGCACTCAGACAGCTGGGCAGCTGCTGCAGCTTGGCCCAGCTCCCTGGGGGACAGCAAGTCTGGCTGGTGCTCCAGCATGGTCCAGGGACAAGCAAAAGGCAGCAGGACAGCGCTCAGACATCCTGAATAGCCCAGGGCACCCACCAGGGGTGTGGGAAACAAAACCCAGCAAAGGCTGGAAGGTGATGGCACACTCCCTGTTAACACCATTTTACAGAAACAGGCTTACAGGATTGTTCCCAGAGCTTAGTGACGACAGCCCTGATCAGGGTGGACCTCCCCAAACCAAAGTATTAAGTGATCTCATGGTGCTAAGGCTAGGAGCTGTGTTAAAAGGCTCCACAGGACAAGCCACTGTCTCAAATAACAATGTGGACCTTGGAGGCATCTGGCAATGGCAAAGCTGCTGCTGCAGCTTCTGACAGATGCCCTCAGCTGAGCACCCTCACATCCAGTACAATCTGTGTCTGCTTCCTACTCCCAGAGTCCCACTCCAGTGGAATGTCACCAGACTGAGCTCACTGCCCAGAACCACAGAGCAACCTGGGCAGAGCAGCTGCAGTGCTGTCCTGAGAATCCCCACACCTTCCTCCTCCTCTGGCAGCCACAGCAGCCCCTGACAGGCTGTCAGAGCACCCCAGGGTGCTTCCACTTTGCAGCAATCCCAAAGGAAAACCACTGTGTCTCAAGGAGCTGGCAACCCACAGAACAATAACCCTGCACAGACCATGTTCCTTGCCCACAGGATGACAGGGTCAGACAGTAAAACATAACAGAGAAGCTGGAGGCAGACCACACAGGGAACCTGCAAGTGCTTCCCTTGATGCAGAAGGGCAGCAAGACACTCTCACGTGAACATCCTCTCTGTTTGACAGCAGAAAGTATAAACTGACTTGGTTTTCAGGCTGTAACAGCCTGAATAATCAAAATGGGGTAGGCCTTTCTATAGACAAGCACAGACCTGTATTAAGAAACAAAATCAGTTCTCAACCTCTGAGCCACACAAACTAGTGAGATCAAAATAATGCTTTAAAACCAAATAACTAAAATACTGAATAAAATTATTCACTTCAATTACCAATTACTATTTTACTTCCTACATATTTCTACATGATATAATGGAAATATTCCTGTAAAATCCTTCATGCAACCTTAATACAGACACTAAAAATATTGCTTGAAGTTTTGGTAGACATGTATGGTCCCCATAAAACCCTTTCAATTAACATCACAGAGGTAGCTTGAGTGCAGGAATCTGTTAGATTCTGTTAGATTTCTCCCTAATGTAATTAAACTTTCCTTTGAAATGTCTTGAGCAGATGCTTGAAAGGCAGGGAACAGCTGAAATTTTAGAACCACAAAAGGATTTGGGTTGGACAGAAAAAGCTCATCCTGTTCCATGAGCAGGGACACCTTCCTCTGTCCCAGGTTGCTCCAACCTGGCCTTGGGCACTGCCAGGGATCCAGGGGCAGCCCCAGCTGCTCTGGGCACCCTGTGCCAGGGCCTGCCCACCCTGCCAGGGAACAATTCCTGCCCAAGATCCCATCCAGCCCTGCCCTCTGGCAGTGGGAAGCCATTCCCTGGCTCCTGTCCCTCCATCCCTTGTCCCCAGTCCCTCCCCAGCTCTCCTGGAGTCCCCTTTAGGCCCTGGAACAGGCTCTGAGCTCTCCCTGGAGCCTTCTCTTCTCCACACTGGACATCCCCATCACTATCAATGCATTTCCAAGTCCAGGGTAACCAGGTCTCCTATTACTTTAAACATTCCCTTGTACTGATCAGCACAAATAGTACATTCCAATTTATTCTTGATCAAAACTGCCAATTTATATTGTGCGTATTGGTGAGTAATGGTCTAAGACAAAGCATTATTTTCTTCCAAATATCAGCCAGATGCTGTAAAAATAGTTGAAATAAAAGCCTCCAAGACAGATGCTCTTGGAAGAAGCAGCAGAAGCAATAACTCTTTACAGCTGAGCCCATAGCTGTGGCAGGGAAGGGGCAAACACTGCTGCTCACAGCTGACTCTGGCTCCTGCTGGGCAGCTCTGCCCCTCTGAGCTTCTAGAGAAGCCCTCTCCAGAAACCCTCTGCATGGCACAGGCACTGCTGTGGCTCAGAGCCAAGGACATTTCTCCTGTAGGATGGTATCTGATTAGAGGCTGAATCCATTTGCACATCGAATATATGGTGGACTTCACCATAAGGAATGTGGTTATTTCATATGCACCTCATCTTCTTACAAGCTTAGCAATCTCTATTTCTGTTTCTACTGTAAAAGATGAGCCAGCACCAGACCCAGACCCAGACCCTCAGACCCAGAGAAGAGAAAAGCCAGAAGAGTAAAGGCAACAAGTACCAGAAGAATGCATTTTCCTACTCTGCACAAAGGGCACAGTATCTGCCCTAATTTCCCACAGGTGCATTATGGCACCGTCATCACACATCAGAACAACAACTGGAGTGTATCTCCCAGCATGCTTGCAATGACTAAAGGACAGCAGCACTGTTTCTTCTATTGTTAAAAAGAATTTGCTTTACAATTCTTGACCTAGGGAGTGGGAGCAGTAGGAGCACTGCTGGATGGGAAAGCAGAGTGAGTGCGACCTTTTGTTGCATGATTATCTCCTGTTATTGCTGACATCATGACCTGTCAGCTCTCTCTAAATCCTATTTTCTTCCCCATTTACATGTATAAAGTGTCATACTCTGACTAAAAATGCTGGAGCATTTTCCCTTTTTTTTTCGTTTCACATGCTTTGCAGGGTCAGTCAGCAATCTCAGTAAAATAAACATAACGACATGGGCTTAGTAAAATAAACATAACAATATGGGCTTTCTCTGAAGGACCAAGCAATTCAGGTATTTATGAACAGCTCTCAAAAGCACAGCAACAGTGTGACACTGGCCTGTTGGCAAGAGCAATGTTCAGTTTCTGGACAGGTGTTCTCAACCTGAGAGTTGAGATCCTACTCTCTGTTGCAATCACTGCAGTTTGCTGGCAATGTGGAGGAAAAGCACCTCCTAAAGCAGCAGTAATAGGAACTTCATCCTCATCCCATCACAGAAAATGAGTGATTTAGGAGGAGGCTAAATGTACCTTGTACACTGAAGTGCCTCCCACGATCCAAACCATGTCTACTTTACTTTTTAACTCTGGTGAATCCAAAAGAGCTAAAGCATCATCCAGACTTTTGGAAAGATAATGTGCTCCTTTCGGGGTTTCCCTAGAAAAAGCAAAGTTCTATTACCAAATAAATAAAGGACAATTCATCAAGATCATCAGTACAAACTAGAAACAAAATGCACTTCGTTGAATTAACAAATAACTACATGCCTCACGTCAGTTAATTATTGTCAAGTGCCTGTTATTGCCAAATTATGTTAGAAGTCTCATCTAACTGTAGGATTGTTCAGCAAATCACATCTTAACCATAATTTAGGAGGCATTATAAATTAAAAATCTGGAATTTCACTACATGGATTTGAAAAAGTGTGACTGCGAAATTTACATATCTATAAGATAAATACACAATCTCTAAATTAAACATAGATCATTAAATACAGATAATCAAGAAATTAAATGTAGATTTTTACTTGAATTCCAGAATTTTAATATTTCATTCAATAAAACTAGTTGAAAAGCCACTATTCCCTGTCCACCCACATATTCACCTGCAAATCCACCAACATCCTCCAAAGCAATAAAGCACTACAAGTGGACATTTGTATTTAAAAATATTTGTGTGGCTGTGGGTGATGCATTCAAGGGAGTTCTGAAACAGGACAGTTCATCCACAAATCCCAATGAAAATAAACTTCAAAAAATGGATTAAGGGCTACCAATCTAAGCTGGAACTAGAGAAATACAGTTAAATACATGAGTCAGAAGCACTATTGAAAACTGTCAAATGGTTTGTGAGTAGGGCTGGAAGTACTACTCATGATACAAAGTAATGACAATTACCCTGTGAATGAATTTAAAAAAAAAACAAAATTAAGAGTAAAGTAGTTACAACACTCAGAACCAACAGCAGAGATGCTTTCTAACCAGACACCAAAAATGTTACATTTGGAACAACTGTATGTTGTAACATACAGTTACAGGTTTTTATTTGTTTCACTGGGCCCTTATTTATCATACTTACTTGAGCTCCCTGCTGAGCACAATATTAATTCTGTCTTTTAAAGGACGGTTCTTCTCAGGAATGGAGAACCACGTTTTTTTACCCATTATCACTGCATTCTGTTTACCTGAGCAGGAGAGAATTGATTTGAATTGTTTAGAGACACTGGTGGACTTCCCCTGCCCTTCCAAACCCCTCTCCAGCAGCAAGCAAACGCAGGAACTCAGGCCTCAGCTCTCAAATGAGTCACACACAGATTTATAAACCCACAATAATTTCTAGGAGAAGAAGCAGTCAAATTAAATCTAAAACTGAAGTGCTACAGGGGCTCAATCACACTCTAACCTTCACACACACATATAATTTCTGACCAAGGCCAAGCATTCATAATCTGATTACCTCTCATACGTAAATCTGCTAAGAAAAGGAATGTCTCTCTTTATGAGAAAAAGGAGTTATCAGAGAAAAAAAACCACAATGCCAACATGGTCACTCTTTCCATGTTGTTTCCAGGCTGGAACACAACAGAGGCAATGGTGACATCCCTGGTGTGAAGATTTATGGCAGCATAATCCATTAAGAAGTCTGGTTATGGAGCACTTCACCTGCCCAGCATCCAAGATCACAGCTTATCAAAGGATCTGCAGGCAGGGTAGAGCAAAATGTTTCTTTGTAATTATATTTCAAACATCTTTTTTCTTGATCACAGGTTATTTGTGCCAGGTAAGATGCAAGTTGCAGACATCTAAAAAGACTTACAACTGCCAATTGTGTTCTGTCCTTTTTTTATACATACAGGGCTCCAAAACACATGTAAAGTCTTTCACTTAGAACTGCTTCAAAATGAGATTAGACATTCCTTGTGGATTATGGAACAGATATTCAAATCAGAAAACTGAACAAGTCACCTAACCAAAACAGACCTTCAAGGCAGAAAATTGAGTAAGGCACCTAATCAAAACAAAGGAATGCATCCAGGTGACCAGAAGTGGGTTTTTACCAAACAAGCGAGTTTTAACAGCATAAAAAAACCATAAGCAAACCATGAAAAAGTGGCCGAGTTGACAAATAACTGCAGTATTTCTGCTCTATGCTATCAGCATCGTCTGGGTTTTCTGGTGCGTGGATTTGACTCAGCGCTCAGAAAACTCAGCAAAATTCGTGTCACAAGGGTCAGAGGGGTGGATCGAATGGCCACGGCTGAGCTACAGCAAACAAGGAAGATAAGCTAATGCAGACTGAAAAACCCAAACTACCTCTGCTAATTACGCAGCTGGTGAAAACCTCGCCATGTTAACTTGGAGTTTTGTGAAAAGGCTTGTTATGCAAACTTTAGATGAAGTTTTCTATGCTTCTGGTGAAAGAAGGACTTGATAATTGCTTCGTATGAGTTTGTTTCCTGCACCTCCTCTGAAATCCCTGATTGTCCAACCTGAGCGATTACAAAGGGCTGAAATACTGGTGAGACTTGTGAGGGCAGGCAGGGAAATGCAGAACCCCGAGTTTGGGGAGTGCGGTGCCTCACGTTACCTTCCACGCGGGACGTGCTCGTCATTCTCTGGAAGTACTTGTACTCATTCCTGCCGGGGAAGCAAGAACTGCGTTACAACCTGCCTTAAGAATAAATTCTCTAATTCCTATTTTTTTTTTTTTTTGCAAGTTCCCCAATTTCAACAAAAACCCCACTCATGGTGGGAGTGTCGCCAGAGCGTGGCGGGGAGGCGGCTGGAGGGGGCTGGGCCGGTGCCATGGCCGAGGTGGGACCTTTTTCCCCCCAGCTGTGCTTGCACGAGGGATAACCTGCGGCCACGGCATGAGAGAGAACCCACCCAAAAAACAACCCCACATCCCCGCTCCCGCCGCTTTCCCGCCTCACAAAGCATCCCCATGAGCACTACAGCTCCCAGCGCGCCCCGCGCGGCCCCGCCGCGCTCTCCTGCTGCCGCGCGGCGCGGGGCACGCTGGGGGCTGTAGTGCGGGCGCGGGGCGCGGCGGCGGCAGGCCGCGGTACCTGAGCGGCGGCCAGGGCAGCCGCCCGTCCTTGCCGATGCCCATGTTCTGGCTGACGGCCACGATGGAGTTGAGCGAGCGCGCCATGGCCGCTCCGCGCCCCCCGCGCCGCGCCGGGGCCGTGCCGGGGCGGGTCGGGGCGGGCCGAGCGGGCGCATCCGGCGGGAGGCGGTGCCGCGGCGCGGGGCCCGGCCATGCCGCGGGGCCCGGCCATGCCGCGGGGCCGGCGGGGCGGCGGCGCCGCGCGGCAGCCGGTGCTCAGCAGGTTCTTCGGGGCGGCGACGAGCGGCGGCGAGCGCGGCCCCCGCAACACGGTGCGCGGGGCGGGGCGGGGCGGGCACGGCCCGCTATCCCGGTGTCCATCCCGGTGTCCATCCCGGTGCCGATCCCGGTGCCGATCCCGGTGTCCCTGTCCGGGGCGCAGACACTGCGGGACGCGGCCCCAGGGCCGCCGCAGCCCGGTGCGCGGTGCCGGCTGTGGCACCTGTGAGACGCAGGGCCCTGGTGCCCGGGTGCTCGGGGACAGCCTGGCAGTAAGGACACGGAGCTGGCAGACAGGGTCCAGGGGAGGCCACAGAGAGGATTTGGGCTCTGCAGCAGCTCCGGGCCGGCCAGAGGCTGCGGGAGCCGGGCCCGGCCATGCCGGAGAAGGGAAGGCCCAGAGGGGATCCCGTGGATCCACACAAACATCTCCGAGGGCTGCCAGAGGACGGGGCCGGGCTCTGCTGGGCGCTGCCGATAATAAAATAAAGGGCAGCGAGCGGCAGCCCGGCAGGAGGAAGAACTTGTGTCCATGGAGGGGCAGAGGCCTGGAACAGCTGCCCAGGGAGGGCCTGGAGTGTCCCTGTGTGGAGCCATGGCAGCCCCAGCTGGGCACGGCCTGGGGCACTGCTGCAGGGGACCCTGCTGGGCACGGCCTGGCAGGCGGCAGCTCCACAGGAACCTTCCAAACCTAATAATTCAGGGATTCTGTAACACAGGATATGTCTGTTTCGGAGGAGCTGGAGCTTGGCAGTGGGTTGGTCAAGGGCAGCGCGTTGGCCCATGTTGTTGGGGCTTCCTATATCACTTCCAATAACACTGTCCAGTGTTGAAACCCTGTGCCTTCTAGTTTTGCAGAATGTGGAATATGTTAAGGTTATCATGAGTCAGGATGTTCTTTGAGATTTGATCTTTGTGTACTTTGAAGCCTGATCAGCAGGAGGTGAGACCTGATCAGTGGGACAGCAGCAGCATCCCTTAGTCAAGGAGTTCGCTAATTTTAAGGATGTAAATCCAGCTGTGGGTGTGTGTCCATGCATGCCTTGCACACTTTGCCAGGATGCTCAGGGTACACAGCCGAACCCCGCTTTTGGGGACAGCCCCAAATCACCCTGCGGCTCCGACAGCCCCTGGCCCGGAGCAGCTGCAGAGCCGGGCTGGGGGCACACAGCCCCACGGCAGTTTAACCCCTCCTGGCCGAGGAGCGGCTCTGGCTGCCTGTAAAGAATGGAAATAAGCGCAGGGAAAGGGCAGTGGGGTGTGCTGGAACAGCCCCAGCAGCGGGCCTGCCCAGCACTGATGGAACACCCAGCCTCTCTCTGCACGGTGTCACTGTCGGCTTGTGGCACGCAGAGAAATGAATCCCATTTTTGGGCAGCTCTGGCAGGTGTGGTGCTGGAGCTCAGGTGTCTTGAGGTCTGAGTGCTGGTAGGTGCAAGGCCAAAAGAGCCTGCAGTGATGCACATCCTCGTTTTGCACCCCTGGGAAAAAGTGGCTGTGTCTCAGCAGCTGGATTTCATTCTGAGTTTGTATTTTCCAGTCTCCTTGTAGTTATTGTTTCCAGCCTCTTCTGGCCCTGGAACGGTGTTTGCTTTTTCTGCCTCTGACTCAAGTCAGCTATTTTGGTTGCCTTTGGTCCAAATATATTTTGAAAGGCGTTATTACAGCTTTCTGCCCTTGTAGGAAAAACTTCCTAATTAGTGTTAATTTGGTGGTATTTAACAGTGGGCTTGAAAACTGATACTCATGTACTTATGTGGAGGTTTTGGGTTTAGTTGATGAGGCTGGAGTTCCTGCTTAGTTCTAAGCAAGTTCTAAGGAAATTGAAATTCCATGGTTAAACCATCTGAGGTTACAATATGAAGTGTGGATGCAAGCTGCTGCAAGCACCTGTGGTGTGCTTCTGTGCAAAGTGTTTATGTTTTGTTGGACCTACAAGTTACTTCTTCGTATTTAGTCAAGCTTCTTGCAAAAGATCAGCGATGAAACAGCAAAATGGATGAATTTCCTGTTTACATAGTGTTCTAACTGCATGTTTCAAAAGACATCTAAGGAGCAGGATGCCCCAAGCTCCCCCAACCCAGCCTTGAACAATACCAGGGATGGGAGGTTGGATTATTTTGAATTAATTTCCTGTGAAGTTGTTGGTTGCATTATTCTCTTTCAGAGGACAGGAAACAGAAAAGGTAACTGAACTTATTAGTTTAATTTACGTTTCAGGCTTCTGAATTTGGCACTAAAAGGAGCTCATCTACTGAAAGCAGTGAACCCTGTGAAAAGAAGACCAAGGCACGACAAATTACTCTGGAAGAGATCTGTAACCCACTGAAGACTCAGGATAGAAGTGAGTTGACTGTTAGCAAACCTTTAAGCATTGGCAGCCAGTAAATAAGTTTTTAATTGTCAGCTGCTCCATTGCCTTGGAAATGCCTGAGTTCCATTTGGCTTTGAACAGAGAATTTAATAATGCTGGTATGAAAACCAGTAAATATAAAGTTCATTACACTTCAATAGAAAGAATTAGCCTCTTAAGTTTCAAAGTGGGAACGGTATTAAATTTGTTGGTGTGATGCTTGGAAGTATCACTAGGACACCCTCAAGAAGCAGTATTGCCTGCTTAAAGAAATGTACTGAAAGAAAATCTGCTTGATTCCCAATATTCTTAGCTAACTTTATGGCTCTGTATTTTCAGTCCAAAAAATAATGGTGCATCTCTTCCCACGTAGAAAGAAGCAGACAAGTGAGGAGTATTGGTTTCCCAGGAAGTTAACCAAGCTGCTTAAATGCACAATTCTGTCAGGCTGGCAGAAATACTGCGGTGGGAGAGGAGGGGGAACACAGGGGAGAAGTACATGGAGCAAAATGCTTGTGTTCTGTGCTCACTGATGTTCTTCTAATAGACATTCACTTTTAGAAAATAAGTTGCTAATATGTTTTTGCTTTGAATTTTCATCAAAGAAGACTCTCAGAAGTGTGAGAAGTCCCGTGTCTGTTTGCAAACTCTGGACAGGCTGAAAGAGTTCTGCAGTGATTCAAACCAGCAGTGTGCCAGAGTCCAGGAAGATGGCTTTCAGGAGAAAGGATCTCTGAGTTTGGAAAAATGTCCCAGTGTTACTGGGAGGAGCTCAGAATTGAGGAACACCAATCTTCCGTCTCGGGACGCCAGCCCAAAGGTGGCACAGAAGGTACGCAGAGCTCTGGTGGCCCTGTGGTGTGTGCAGGTTGCTTCTTGTGAGTTAAACCAGCAGGCTTTGGCACAAGCTTCCTTTTGTGACATGGAATGGTGCAGCAGAGCCCCACAGACCTGTGCTCATGTAGAAATGTTTTCCTGAAGCTCTTTCCAGGGTGAGCAGAGTGGCTGTTCTGGCTCCTCAGTGATACCAGTGAACAACAGCACCACAAGGGAACAGAAACCCTGTTGGTGCCGCCTGTGCCTGTGAGGGAAGCTGTAACTCCCTAATAACACATGTTCAGAGTGGCACTTTGCTTTCATTTCAGTGTGCTTTCAGTCCCACCAGTTTTTATGGGGGCTCTCAAACTTCTAGCAGGCTTTCTTTGCAAAAATTCTGTGTAGGGTTATCACTGAGATGTGGATTAATCTAGTTGCTGGTAAATCTAACTAGTAAAGGTATCACTACTTTTTTATCTGCAGAAGATAGGGGTAGCTCACAGGAAAAATTGACATTATGGTATGTATGGTGCAAGTCAAGAGACGTGAGTGGAGTCATAGTATTTTGTTTCCCCTTTACTTATGGGTCTAGTTAACACTAGTTAATGTTAACTAATGGGGGTGTGGGGGTCAGCCTTCTCAGTTTCACCTCATGGCTTTCTGTGGTAGCTGCTCTTTAGTGGAGTTCTGTGTCTGGCCTTCTGAGGGAAGGAGCTTGTATCCAAAGCTGTGCAGCTGATTTTAGCCTTCCCTGTCTGAGGGCTGTGACCTTCAGCTGGGGGTGTCTGCTTTGTGTGAATGTGGGGTCCAAATTTTGAAGTGAGCCGCTCGTGGCAAGAGAATTCTGTTGTGGTGAAGGTTGAGGTTATGAAGATGTGTTGGGAGAGCCCAGAAAACTGATTCCAGGTCTGGCCTACCTTCCTTGGAAGGGGTCCTTTTTGCTGTTTGTGTCTTGCTTTTTACTCAGTAACCTTCCTCCAGCTGCTAATGTATGACCATCTCAACGAGTCAGCTTTTGTGTTTGTTTTTGCTCCTTTTGCCTTGTTTCATGCCCTTGTTTCACATGCTTTGCCACTACAATTTCCTGTAAAACGAGACAAGGTCATCCTGTTTGGCTGGCACAGACCTTGGACTCAAGACCGCCGTGTCTGTGGGCTGAGGATTGTGCATCAGAGACATCTGAGCTCCTGAGGCCACCCAGGTTCTGGGTGCAGTGCAGCTTTATTTGTGCTGGGCTGGCTTCTCTTGCTTAATTGTGTGCAGTTGTGGGGATTTTGGAGTTACAGCTAAGTGTTGTTTTCCCTGGGTTGTTCTCTGACTGCACTCCTTGTACATTTCCATGACCCAAAGTATATGATTTAAGTTATCTCTGTGTTTTCTCTGAATTACCATTGCTGATAAACAGTCTGTTCACTTTGTTTCTCATAGTCTGAATGGGGCCCTTGGTAGAAATGGAAGTTTATTGGATTTATTTTCAGATAGAGAACTTATAGCACAACGTGATCAGTTGTGTCTTCAATAGCCATATGCTTAAAAAAATTCTGCAGGGTGTTGTCTTTGTATCTTTTTTTAAACCATATTACCTGTATTTGATCTTTTGATATGAGTGAGGAGGAACTTTGCTGTAAGTGAAACTCTTTTCAGTGTTCTTCTCTGCACTTCTGATCCCATCGCTCTGCTGACAATACAGA